ATTAGTTCAAAGTTTAAAGTTTATAATAAAGGTAAATCGAACAGACATATCAAATCAGATATTATTTTGTGGTCTAGTACTTGGTCAGTATCGTTACTTCGTGTGAAATCGTACCATTTAGAAAAAATACCGAACCGCACTTGCAATTTGATTTCTTAAGAGAGGTTTGAGTTTGACGGTAGTATCTAAATCACAAACAAGAAATCCTTTATTATTTATACATTTGAATATAGATGGCTTGATTAAGTTCAATTTATAATGATCGACTTGATATTTCAGTCGTACCAAACACCAGTTATTAATATGTTTTATTTTTTAATAAACGTTTTTGTTTGTAACCATGGGTTTCCGGATCAGCTTACGCACACAGACTAATCCGTCGGACGACAAGCAAGCACCAGGGCGGCTTGYGTGCTTGCTTACCTAGCTCATGCATGGCTTCAATAGCGAAAGAGGTTCTTTCCCAACAAGGCCAGGAACTAAACTTGATGAAGGAAAGCGTCTTTCTTTTGTTGGGGTTGGCTTGAATCGTYGCAAATGAACTTTCATGGCCATAAGGGGTTTGGTAAAGTCTGAATTCGAACCSAAGATAGATGAGATTTTTCACAATATCCCCTGAAGTTTAACCAATGCGCCACAMCCCAAGTGGCAATGAACGTTAGTATTTGCTATCTRTACTTATTATAAAGCATTTGATAGACACTCTTAAAAACCATTTTCGATGCATAAAGTATTGTTTAATATTTATTAATGCATATTACTTAAAATTTAGAATTACTTGTAAATTGTGCACAAATACAACTTATTAAAACTTCATGTAACTAACTGGAAATAAACATAATTAAATAGAGGATAAACATCTCATTTTAAATATAAAAAATCTAAAATATAATTAGGATAATCATTGATTTCTAACAAAATACTTAATTATTATCTTTATAAAAAAATGAATTAAAAAAATAACAAAAAATGGAGAATTTTTAAATAGTGTGTTTGGTATTAATATCAATATTTTTTTTCAATTTTTTATGATAACTTCRTATTTATATTTTATTCAAAACCGCATAAAATCGTTTTATAACATCGACAGAGACAATGAGTAAGACAAAACATTAAAATTGAGATGCATCAAACTGCATTGTGCGAATACCCTTATAGTAATCAATTAATAAAGAGGTAACTTAATTCATTTTACAAACTTTTCTTCGACCGATTTAAAAGTTTTTTGTAATTTATTTTTATGAATTATTTATAAAGAATGAAATTAAATTTCATTCCAAATCTTACAAATCAAACACATTAAAAATCCAAAATCTTTTTTAATTCCATATCATTCCATAAAACTAACACGTTTAAAGACATTTCGTTAAACCAAACAGACCGTTACTTCATTTTAGTTGGCCGAAAATTTGTGTAATTCTGTAAAATCAATAATCCTTGAAATGATTAATATTTCTTATCTTGTTAAATATGTGTAAAAATAACATAATATATATGAAATTATGGTCGGAAGAATATGTGTCGTATAATTTCTAAAAATATTTCTCAAAAGTACGACGACCTTTTAAAAATATCATTTAAAGAAAACCCATAAATAAATGTATACTTGTTAACAGTTTAATGAGTTTAATGATAATCAAAGGTTATTAAACGAGAAATACGTGTCTAGTAGTTGCTTTATGGTATATAGAAAGTGACTTATTCAGTAAACTTATAAGGCAACTTATGCAGAAAAACAAGTTTTTTTTTCTTCCCAAATCTCCATTCCCAATTAAAAAATACGCTTCTTTTATCTATGAAAARAACCCCTGACAAATAAAAACTTTCATAGTATATACAAAACAGATTAATCTACAATAACAATTTTATCCATACAAGATTAACGGAAAACTAATCAAACAAACACATACTTTTTTTAACTACTTTGTATCTTATATAACTTTTGAAGTCGTCGTAATTAGTTTTCGGCGTTTGCCAAATTGATTCCAATTATTATTATCTGATTACAGGATTAACAAATCAAGAGTAGTTAAAAAAAGCTGCTTATCAAAGAGAATAATATTAACCACTTAACAATCTCTTGTTTTAAATAACTAATTATCTAAAAATAATAATTTTAAAGATTACAACGATGATTTTGAATGCACGTCCAAAATTCAAAAACAACCCCGAAAGGAAAATATTTTCTTTCAGGGATTATTAATGGGCCATTTGTAATTGTAATGGGCTAAAATGTGTGTGTCTCGTTAACCGTTTTTTCACTGTTAATTTGTTAAACATAAGTGGTCATAAAGACCCGAAAACCAGTATAGACAAGTTTTTTAATCCAGTCAAGGATAGGACAAAAATCGTAATATGGCCCTCACCCACTAGTAAAAGGACCGGCTTTGACGACTAATTATATTGGCCATCGTTAATTACGCATTTTGAGTTAAAAGCCTATCAATGGACTAGGATCGATCGTCTATGCCATTACCAGCTAAATGGTGACAACTTTTGTCAAAACTGATTATAACCCAATTGAAAAACCAGTTATAACTGATTTTTGTCCATCTTTTAATCAAACATTTGGACYAACATGTTATATAATTGCTAACAAAGTTTATGGTCCAACCAAAAAATTTATTTTTTGCATTATGCTTCAAAGTTTTGCAGCTTTTAACATCACTTTCAAATCRATAAGTAAAAAAGAAAAATTGACTGATTTCTTCATCCGACCTCATTTTTCAACCACATTTTCAAGTTAATTATCATACCAGTAATTATTTACGTAAATCAATAACTTATTTATGTAAATGCATACTTTTTACGTAAATTTGTACTCTTCACGTAAATGCCCAATTTCTTCTTTTTATTAGGAAAATGTCATTTACGCAAATGTGTAAAACATTTACGTAAATAATAACTACCTTGGAAATTGCCTTGAAAATGAGAAGCGAAAACTAAAAGGTGAATGGGGATGGAAAGGCTGGCTATTTTGATCAATTTCTCTATGTTGTTAAAACCTGTTTCTTAGAGACCTTCAACAGACACACCAAATTCGGTATAACGTATAGTAGCACATAAAATTGATATAACAGTATTTATTTACCCCAATGAAAAAATATAAATATACCTATATATAAAAACACGAAAACAGTCAAATCACATATGATTTTACATCAACAGTCAAAGCAAAGGGTGAGCATGCGACATGGCCCACAACTTAGGTCACAAAAAAATCACATGAATCACATGTCATTTTGTAAAATTACATGTGATGTAAACCATTTTATTTCTCGTATTTAGTTATTATTTTCGTATAAACCTGAATATATTTATACTTTGTATATTTTATGAATAAAAAAAGAACATTTAACAACCCTACAACTCCATGATATAAATGTAACCAAAAGTTACCAATTCAAACTCACAAATCAAGATGACATCTCATATTTTAATCCTACAACCTACCATTTAAAAGCCAAACTACATAAATTCTTGTTACAAACGCACATACTACAGTCAAATTTAAAGTCAACACTCAAACCATTGTTCTAATAATATCCAAGAAAATAACATTCTAGTTAAGGAAAGGTGGTCAAATGGGTTCATTCCTTTGTGGTTTTGTTGATAAGAGACTTGTGGATGTGTGGGATGACACCACCCCCAGCGATGGTACCTTTGATTAGTGTGTCGAGCTCCTCGTCACCACGAATGGCGAGCTGCAAGTGTCGTGGAGTGATCCTTTTGACCTTCAAATCTTTGCTAGCGTTGCCAGCCAACTCGAGCACCTCGGCGGTCAGGTACTCCAGGATAGCAGCAGAGTAAACGGCAGCAGTTGCTCCTACTCGACCGTTGGCGGATGTTCTTGTCTTCAGATGGCGGTGGATTCGACCAACTGGAAACTGAATTTTGAAATTACAAACATTTGAATTAGTGTATGATGCATCTAATGGAATCGATCTAAAATGACACTTTAGTCAAATATATATGTGTGTGTGGAACCCATGTAGATTACGCTCCAAAAGAGCGTTGAAAAGAGAATGGAAGTTCCAAATATATTTAGGAAAAAATGGTCAAAATCTAGTCGATTTAGGACTCTAACACGCCGCCTGCAACAAAGGCTAGACAAAAAGGGGATAGACAAGGGAAGAGGCTTCACAAGTACAAATTATCATTGAATGTCGAGCACCTAGAGTAATAGATCTTGCACTTATAGGCCTACACCATGTCAGTGCCCTATACTCGCTAACAAAATTAGTCTTCAACTCCGTTTTGTTTATATTCTTGCAAAACACAAACCAAATCAAATAAACCCCGACCTTGAGGGGTTAGCTCAACTGACAATAACATTTGGACCATTTGGGTTTTCCATAGAGGTCACCAATTTAAGTCCCTCCAATACTACTAGGGATTTTCTTGGTTGTTCTCCAGAGAACCATGGGATAGTTGAGATGCGCACAAGCAAACCTGGGATCCACGTTTAACAAATAAAAATCAAACCAACCCAATATGACCAGGTTGGAAGCAGGGTCTGGGTATTCTTGCAAGCCAAAACCTAAAATTGTTTTCCAAATAACACCGATCTATTTAATTTAACATGAAGATCCTCTCTATAATTCCTCCCTTTAAGTCAATTTTTTTGCATTACCCTAACATCATCATTTCCAAACTTCTGTAGTCATCAAAAGCCACTTCAAGAGCTACATGAAGTAAAATATGGTCTTATCGATGAATTCTAGTAATGTCAAAGCTGTAACATTTAACCAGTTCAACCGTCCACATGCTTAGTTAAAAACCCATCACCCCTGCATTCAAAACTTGAAATGAACAAGCAACATTGCATGAAAAAAATCGGTGCTTCTTCTCAACACTGATCACATATACCACAATTATGCAAAAAATAGTCAAATCAAGAAGTATTAATAGAAATGAACACAGTTGGAGTTTAATTTGGGTGAGTTCGATACGCAAAAAAGGACTAGACTAACGAAGGTAAGGTATGCAGGCAAAAGTATTACAGAAAGTAAGGTTTTAATTTGACATGGGTAGTTTAGTAATTCATACATCTTGTCCCGTTTCCCTATTTTTGCTCCAACTATTTTGATGGGGAAAAAAAGCTCAATCAGCACAAGTTTGTTCCTTGTTCTTCCACCATTTGAGACCTAATGCCTACCCGGTTGCTCCCTCTGTAGGTGTTTTACCATAATCAATAAAAGATGTCAACACTTTCATCTTTAAACGCATCAAGAACTTCTATATGTGCATGCAGATATGTTCTAACTTAAATTTCCTTCTTGTAAACCTTTGAACACATCTCTACTTCAATCATTTATAACAGAACCTGGTGTACAACATCTTACTGCTTGTTTAATAAATCTTCAAATGCAACAAGACTTATGCAAAAGGAAAACTGGTATATCATAAGCAGAAATCATAGTTAGATTTTCGAAATCACCTGAAGACCAGCTCTAGATGACCTTGAAACTGGTCTCTTCTTATCTTTGTCCTTGTTAGCTGCAGCTGCTGCTGCCGCAGTCGTTTTTCCGGCCAACAGACCCTTCCCACCTTTTCCCGCCATTTACCCACCTACACAAGCATTTCATCACAATTAACCGTGAAAAATAGTAAGATTTGACATGAAAAGCAGCATTTGAAGCATCAATGTAGACTTAGTGAAAAACCAGATGATGAAATGGTCAACGGATATGATTTCATATAAGGATCTAACTAGGGTTCCATGTACTCTAATTGTAAACCCTAAAACAAAATCCAACCACATTCGGCTCTAATTAACCGAAAATTTGATTCATAAAAGTCACTAGATCCTGATTAATGTACAATAGAAAGATGTAAAACATAGAATTCATAAAACCAATCAATCTTTTCATGGAAATTTTGAATTGGAGATACTTGAAAGAAAACCAACCACATATATAATATATGAAATCACAATCAACACAAACCTGAGTAGATTGAAACACAGAAGAAAGCAAGAGTTCGAGAAGAAAGTGAGTAAAAGAATCTATGAAATTCTGGGTTTCAAGATTTATGAGGTTTCGATCGTATTATTCGTTCGATTTGGCGGCCAAATCCAGTGGTGGGAAATCGAGCTTTCAAAATTTTCCCTCTCCCTCTTCTTTCACCCAAACTTTTACCTCTTAAATTTCAAATAAAACTTCAACTCGTTCAATTGGAACCAAATCCGTATATAAGCCCATGATAAGGCCCAGCCCATTTACTTGAGAAATGCCCCGATTTTGGGTTGACTTATTGATTAATAGTTGTATGAAAAAAAGATGGTTTATGGGTTATTTAACGGTTGTTGAATGGTTTGATGCAAAATTAATTAAGTTGTCAAAATGATTAAGAGACTTTTGTAATATAATTCAAAACTAAATATAATTGTTTGGTAATTATTCATAATGAAATTAAGGTGTTGAATGGTTAAAGAATATCCAAAATACAAAATCATTCGAATGGTTTTAAAACCATTAAGAGACATACTTTTTTTGTCAAACAAAATTCATCTCTTAGTGATTCTGATATTTCCTTTTAATGAAACTATTAAGAGGTAAACAAACAATCTTTTAGAATAAAAAATATATTTATAGAGGACAAATCAAAAAATAAACCATCTAAATTTTACACGTTGTACAAACCGATTTCGTCTCTTATTTTGTATATTTTAATTTTTAGGCGGTTAGCAAATCATTTACAGGTAAGATTGAGAGTAAATTTCGAAATCGACTTAATACACATTGTTGAGATTGATTTGATAATTTGCACGTACGTTTAAATTTGGTTTCTACGGTGTGTTTAGGTGGGTTGTATTTGATTTAAGCGTCTATAATTTCTCGTTATTTTACAATCTCAATAATTTGTATAAATTTATAAATAAAATTTTTATGTGTTGTTTCGTATATGAAATAATTTGTTTGACGAAGCAATGTTTATATAATGTGAAACTTTTTGACGATGCAATGTAAAAAATATTTGTCTGACGATGCAATGTTTATAACTGTTTGTGAAACAAATAATACATGTCAAAAAGTTTCGCATTGTGAATCGAATACAGATGAAACAAACATATTGTGAAACAAATATTTGTTAATATCGACATTAAATAATATATTTAAATGGAAAGAAAATCACGTGAAAACATAACTTTAAGATAAATGTTGTCACAAATCTCACGGATATTGGAATTTTCAAATAATTAAGCCCCGTTAAAACTTAAAATATACGAGAGGCGTATGGTTCGATTTGAGGAACGTCGGGAGATGACAAGGCATCCTTTTAATTCATATTCCTTTTTAAGTAGTCACTTAATTGAACCTAACACTTAGGTGGCGTTTGTTTTTTAATAGGTGCTAGACTCTGAAGTCTGATTTCACTTCTGATTTATAAGAGGTAGTCATAAACTTTGAAATCCGAACCAGTAAGATTGTTTGTTTTTATGTCTGAAGTCTGAAATCCGAATCGGTCAAACTAGTGCAAAAAAAAAAAGATAACTAATTTTTACAAAAGTATAAAAGATAAATAGTTTTTGCTAACAAATATCTTCCAACCCCCAAATATGAACCATTTAATAGAGGGTGGATTAGGTTTAGAGTATTAAAAGTTAAATTTACCACTTAAAATTCCAGAAAACATTTACATGTTTTTAGCTCGTATATTAGAATTAAAACAAATGCTCTTATTACCCAAACGTTTAAACGAATCAGACTTCAGAGGTATTAAAAGGTAGTTTTGAAAAAACAAACATGCCCTTACGATTATATTGGTTCTCATTTTTAAGTCTGATACCCGCTAAGTAATTAATTTTAACATTTAATAATAAGTTTTGTTATAATTGTTATTAATATGGAGTATATCCAACAATTTCTTTAAACTAGCAAACAAATGTTACAAACTTTTAAAAAAATTACATTCAACTCTAAAGTGGTGGACTCAAACCTCGGAAATTTATTCGGATAATCAACTTGTGATCGAACGTGGTGCGTTAAATAGTTTTTGGATGTGTGTGTTTTTTTTTATTAACCTGGATATCCAACTTGCTATGCGAGCTGACTAATCTCAGGACGACCACCTGCTTTGCAGATAGCCCGAAGTCACCGTATTTTAACCTCTATGGCCACAAGGGGATTTTTATTCCTCCTTAGATTTGAACCTGGGATCTCCTGATACTTTTGACATTTGGAGTCAAGCTCAAACCAATCAGGCACCACCCTTGTGGTTAGTTTTTGGATGTGTTTGTTTTGCTTTAAATAGCTTTTAGTGTTTTGAAAATTTATGATTCTTTAAGTAATCGATAAGGAAAATAAAGGTAATTTTTACCCCGGTTTCAAAGGTTCGAATACAGTTGTTGCCGTTGAGGTTCAAGTATGATGACTCTARGTCATTAGCGAGTGATTAGTGCGAATAAACTGGTCCTGAAAACCCACGATTACTAAAAAAAAAAGTAAGGGTGCTTTTAATGTATCATTTTTTGATCCATTGTGTTACCGCTAATATATATTATTATGCACGTTACATGTGTTTTAAGGGGATTTATAACTGATATTTGTTTTCCAGTTACATTAAAAAAAAACAATGGACATAAGACACAACGTCAATCAAATACAAACCAGATTAAAGTTTCATATGATGCTTGAGACGAATAATAAAATATAACAATTGGTCATATTCTTTGTATGTGAAAACAGGTTTCGGTTTTATCATTTTTTTTTTTTATAAAGACGTTTGACATTATTGGTATTCTCGGTGTTTTTGGATTATGGGATAATTCTCGTTGATCGGTTTAATTTTCTACTTTTAGAAAACGATAAATATAACTATTTTAATATTTTAAAATTTGTAGATGGTTTAATCGACCCTTTGACATTTGTTTACGTAATGTCTTACATACTTGGTATACTCGGCGTTTCTTGAATCTATTTATGCTGCTTTATCACTATCGTCGTCTTGTTTCTTTATATATAGTTATCGTTGTTGACACGTGTCTATTATTTTCATCAATATAAACATGGTAACTACATAATAAAACAACTCGTGGCGAGTTCCTTTTGTTTTTTACATCATATCGGATTATTATTATTTTTATTTATTAACCTGGATATCCAACCTGCTATGCGAGTCGACTAATCCCAGTGCGACCATCTGCTTTGCAGATAGCCCGGAGTCACCGCATTTGAACCTCCGTGGCCACAAGAGGATTTTTATTCTTCATTGGATTTGAACTTGGGACCTCCTGGTACTTTTGACATTTGGAGCCAAGTTCAAACCAATCCGACACCACCCTTGTGGTTCGGATCATTGGTTATGGTTCACTGTTTAGTGTTTGCAGCAGATGAATAACTATAGACTTCCAAGTTCCAACGACCTTGCAACTTCGAATGTATGGTTAAGAGTTTCGACTCTGTGTTTTTGCTTTGACTCCAAGTACTCCACTTATTTCGCTATTTATGGATTGAAACATATACGATACGTATATCTAACGTTGTGTGGGTTTAAACATCTAAAACGACATATCGAATTGAAATCTTTAATTTTACTTTTTTTTTCTCATAATGATATGAATACCGTTGTTYGTCAACTTCTAGGCAAACACGTCCAAAAGGGTAGGGGGCGACTTGTTGAATGAAAGCCAGCCACCATATGTCAATCAATGCATTATATGCTTAATTATATATGGTTTCATATTCATGTCACATGTAATCATATATGATCTTGAAACTTTTCTTTTTTCTCGCAAATTGATTGTCTTCTTGTCTGAATCTCTCTCTCTCTCTCTCTCTCTCTCTCTATATATATATATATATATATATGTATATATATATATTTACACATATATACATATATATATATAGGGAAGGGTTCAAACGAGAACCCCTGTGATTTATGAGAACGCAAGAACAACCCAATAACCTCATATTGTGATAAAAAATAAAATTAAAAGATTTTTAAAATTAAAATTGAAATTTAAAAATATTCAAAAAAAATTAAAATTAAAAGGGTAATAATAGAAATGATATCATCAAATCTTTTAAACACGATCATTATCTTTTAAACACGATCATTATCTTTTAAACACTTATTATTATCATTGGTCTTATCATTATCTAGTAAACGGTTACGAAATAGATTAGGATTATACTAGGTGTGATATGAGTGTGATAATCACTGTTATACATCACTTGGGTTATCGTTTTGGTTGATAAGTTAAAATTTTGGTGTAATCATGTGATAGAGGTGTGATAATCATGTGATATGGGTGTGATACTTATATGATAGAAGTGTGATAATCACCGTTATACATTACTTGAGTTAACGTTTTGGTTGATAAATTAAAATTTTGGTGTCATCATATGATTTGGGTGTGATAATCATGTGATAAGGGTGTGATAATCACTGTTATACATCACTTGGGTTATCGTTTTGGTTGATAAGTTAAAATTTTGGTGTAATCATATAATATGGGTGTGATAATCATATGATATGAGTGTGATACTTATGTGATAGAGGTGTGATATGAAGAAAAGATGTTAAGCCATCGACTATCTGGAGATTATCATGAACGAGAAGGAGAA